CCCCCCCCGCCGCCCTACACATAGAGGAACTTGAACTGTCATTTTCATTCATACGCACTGATATCAATGTCAATATGATATACGGGGTTTATACAGTTTATCCTATGATATGAATTGTATTATCGTAGATATAAGTAGCTACTATTTTTGTATTGATTTTATGTTATATGTGGTTTTGATAAACAAGATCATAGAAATCTCAGTTCTTTTTCTTTTGTTACTATGATAAAAACAGTTATTGAAAAATCTAGATGAAAACATTCGATTAAGACTATTTCCTAAAAATCAATAATCTTAGAGTCAGACATCTCTTCAGGAAGCTCTTCGATAACGAGTTTAATTTAAGGGTTCCTTCAGTACCCTACATAAATTATAGTTCATCACAACCTGAATGTTTGTATGTAGCAAAAAGAGAATAATGGAGTGGGAGTCTCATTATGAGAATGCAAATAGTATCATTTAATATAGAAATTAATGAAGCGTTTTCCAAGAAAACAACTTTCGTCGATGCCAATAAGAGCGTGTCAATACAACCATTGTTAAACTAATAGAAGAATTCTAATTTTTCGCATAGTAATGCTAAATTATCTTTACATGATCAGATTAGCTCTTGAAAGAGCTTTTCCTACATCTTTTATTCTGCCTAGAACTTTTGGTTCTAGATTATTGCATTTCATAGTTTATGTCGTCTGGCGAAGAAGAAAAGGGCGAAAATTTCCCTTCGATGGCTATGCCAAGAAAAAATTAAACAGAAACTTATTTACACTATTAACACCCTTGATCCTGATACATTGGCCGAGGCCAATTTTTACCACTCAAAATGAGTTAATTCTTATGAAAATATGTTTTTTTTCAAATGAAAAATAAATTTTAAAGGATTCGTGAAATCAATCTTTGTGACTTATACAAAGTTAATGCTTTCATCTAGTACAGATTTTCACAAGACAAAAGCTGTTCAATATTCATTGATCAATGATAACTAAGATGCGCAATATTCTAGTAGCTCGATATATTTAAAATAACACTACTGTTCTGATATATATATATATTTTTTTTTTTCGATATTTATCTATTGATATGAAGTTTTAAATTACAGAGCTGTCATAAGCATATAAAACGTACTTAAATCAGTGATTACCAACAGATTTAAGTTGTCATTTATTTATGTCACTTAAAATTAAAGTCTTTGAATCAATAGGTTTTCGTGTAATACTGTAATTGGATCAGGTGCTCCAAAAACAAAAATTTTGTTGTAAGGAACAAGAAATCATCGAGGTGCTAAACTTGACAAACAAGCTATTTTTCTAGTAGTTTTTGGTCAAATCTTCCTCAAAAATCAAGAGTTAAGAATGATAGATCTGTAAAAAAATTCTATTTCTTTTAGCTAATCTTGAATCTCGTTCACGTATATCCAAAGCGTCAATATCGACAATAAACGAAGAATCAACAGATACTACACTTCAATTTCATCTTTCATTAAACGATGATACTGATGATGGTATTGTTTTGGATGCTGATGATTCAGTTAATGAAGATGACGACCAAGTATTTCGTACGCCAATTAATAATAACAGTGCACCACCTAGTCCAGCAACAATTGTTGCTATTGAATTACCATCGTCTCCACCAGTCATCGAAGTTTATACCGGTTATAGAGACTTACATCAAGCACTTGATCATTTGAATAAAAAACTAATTGCAACCTACGCACCTGAAAGCATGCGTGGTGGTGGTTTATTAGTGAGTGTATTTTCCTATGTTGTTTTAAACATTGTTACGAATGATTTATTTTATTTAGAAATACTGTGATTTATTAGCACAAAACTATAAGCTTCATGATGTAACAGATATGCTTCGTATGCAACGATATATGTGTTCAAGATTTTTCATTGATTATAAAACCATACATGAACAAATGCATGTCATAACACAATATGTTACAACACATTTTTTGCCATTATCCTTGACAAATAGTGATCAATCAACAATGTCAGAAGCACAGCATCGAGATCACCATCAAAATTTAAAATCATCCACAACACCAAATAATCATCAAAATAATATTAATAATGTCAGACTTTGTTTATTATTTTTTGATCATCTATTTCATGTTATACAACACGGTACTGTTTGCTTGACACATCATGATAAAGAGTCAACATTAATCAATATAAATCACCTTAAAGAATATTATCATTATAAATATGAACATTTATTTGTGGATGACAACTATCATCAACAACGGTATCATTCACATCTACATCATTATCATCATTGTTCGAGTTCATCATCCAATTCCAGTCGATCAGTATGTATTATAAATGATGAAAAAAATTTAAAGTTTACCTATTTCCTTTTCATCATATTTTACGGCTATATTTTAGTTAAAAATAAATAGACTCTTTTTCGGGATTACATTAGAGCCATTTAAAGCAGAATCAAAGTAAATATATAAAATCCTAAATTTTAGTCCTCGATTGGAGAGTTAAATGCTTTATATTTAATATGAACTATTCATTGTAGTGAAGTATCCGAAAAATTATGCATCCTGAGCAAATATAATCTATCAAGTCTTTTTTGAAGTTACATGCATCAATTGATAAGATTAGTTCATGTCTATCACTTTTGATGACGCATACGATTAACGGAAGACAATACAGTGCAGTTAAATATATTCGAAATGAATCTAAGAGTTGACAGTTTGTATTCAATGATAGAAGAAGATATTTCGCGGCATTGGATATCCCAACTTTGAAGATTAGTAACATCATACCAGAAGAATCTATTGGCGAAGAAAACGTTTATATACCTTCGAATATATTTGGTTTTTATCTTACGGAACAGCAAAACAAAGTCATGATTCAATTCAAGTTGTTCTTTTTTTCAAAAAGTTATATTTATCATTCAACTCCTAGCTCTGCATGAATAAAGTCACATATAGAGAATTGTGAAGAAAATATCATAAATTTTTTTATGCGATTGGACTTTTCGTCGCGCTACATCTATCTATAATCAAATGTAAAAAAGACGTAACAGAATTATTTTAATTTGGTTAGAAAATTTCTTTGTGTGTATGTTAAGTAGAAACTATTTGCATGCAAAATTTGACTGCATCCAATGGGTTGTTCTACCTGCAGCAGCGAAAAGTCCTAGCACTAAATTTGTCATATTTTCAGTAGTCTGCTTTATCTCTATTCTATTAATTTTCTGATTCTATTAAATCTAAACCTCTAAATATCTAGTATTGATTATAATTTGATTTATTTTTCTAGTCCTCACCATCGAGTTCATCGTCGAATTCGTTTAGATATTATCGTCCCAATCACAATCACAATCATAATAATCAGCGTCATCAAAACTCTTACTTTCGATATCACAATACCCTTCAACGACAAACGACAAATTCGTTATCCTATCATCACGGATCTCGAAATTATTCAAATGATTTTCATGCAAATCAAGCAATGGTAACCAATCATAATTATCACAATCAACGTCGACACCAAACGTAATTAAAAGTAAATACCATCATCGAGATTTCCTTTTTTGCTTCCTCTCTTTCAAAAAGAACTTAATAATCTTGTTTTCTTTTTCGTTTCTTTCTGTTTTTTGGTCTTCTTATTACTGTGAAAGATTAGTTTATACATGTATACTTATGATACTTTGTCCCACCTCTTGTGTTACGAACTCTTTTGATGTGGTGAAGAAAAAAGAAAACGACTGAAAAAGTTCTAGATAGATATACATAACTTTATTTTTTTTTCGTTGTTGTTGATAAAAACATGATATAGGCTTTCTTAAAGAAACTTCTACATCATGAAATGGGAAAAAAAACACATAAAAAAATGAAAACAAAAGAAAAAAATTACATAAATTTTCTCAAACTAAAAAAATCTGAAAACTATACTATGTTTATTGTTCTTGTTCTATTCATTCGTTTGCTTCATCTGTCTTTTTGTTTATTAGAACATCATAACTATTGCCGTTTCTTTTTCTCCTTAATTATTTTTATATAATGACAAAACGCATATTAAAAACAGCCTCATTTTTCCTCCACTTTTTTGCTTAACTCATGACATTCCCATCATTCAAGAAAAATCAATACCACTTTTCGCGGTATTTCTCTGGAGAATCCTCGACGCTTTTTTTTCTATATATTTGTGTGTGTGTGTATTTCATGACGACTAGTGTTGTTTATTGAATAGTATCGTTCCTTTCTACGTACTCTATACCTGGTGATGATCCTTCTTCAACATGTCTCTTAAAACTATATATTTTTTTGCTATAACTATTATTAACTTTTTCTTCTGTGTGTCTTTCGTTCGACTTTCTTGGTGTAGATGTATGATATATCATGTTCTTTCTTTTTTTTTGTGTGTGCTTTGTCGTTCTTGATTATTTCTTTTTTTTTTGGTTGTATGTGTGAAACAAAGAGCGATCAAAAGAAAACTAACAGAAGAAAAAGTGAAAATGAAATTAGTCTTTATGTCGTTATTGTTGCTGCCTCGAAGAGGATAGGAAATTGATATTGATAAGATGAAATAGAAAACAAAAGTAGTTCTTGGTAGTATATAGATAAAGTAAAATTTCAATTGAATTAACATCACGGGAGCTGCCAATAGCAATTATCGCTCTAATAATTTAATAAGAGATAAACAAAAAGAAACTTTCAGAATATATATACTACTCGACTGGCTCTCAAGAATATCTAACAGTATTTTCTATATTAATCATTCGTCTCTATTTTGACATGTATATGGATAGAAAAGAATTTTGCTCTGGCTTATGATGTGCTGGACTGTTTTTCTCTTGGTCTTAATGTCTGATTGAAATTCAGCTCTAGATTTTGTAGGCTATGGTCGAATTGCGACCGAAAATTAAGTCAATTAAGAAAAAAGTGGTCGCAATTTGGAATGAAGAATTTTACGTTGATCTCATTTTTTATTCGATTCCAAATTTCGACCACTTTTAATTGATTAGTTATCAATATATATGGTGATGAGTTGTGCTGTAATGAAAATGTTGATATATAAGCGTGAAAAAAAGATTGCTAGTGAATATCATACAATGAACACAAACTTTACTTGGTCAACTACCGAAAAAGGTGAAAAGGCTATTCTATACAATAACTATTTATTTCATTTAAAGCGGGAAAATAGGAACAATTCATCACTTCATGTCAGCACTAATAAAAGGTGCTGTCGTTCTATATCATTGAAAAATAATGTAATATAAAATCAAAGGATGAAAATCATAATCATGAACCGAAATTGCCAGAAAATGTTCAAACAGTTTTGCGTGCTATTTCTCATCGCTACATTCACATTATAAAAGATAGTAGTGATGAGGAATAATTTTCTGTAGTCTTTTTTTTTCAATTAAAAATATTGATTGATTGATAATTGAAAAGTGGTCGTAATTTGGAATCGAATAAAAAATGAGATCAACGTAAAATTCTTCATTCCAAATTGCGACCGTTTTTTTCTTAATTGGCTTAATTTGCGGTCGCAATTTGATAAGATTTCAGCATTTTCCATTGTTTTTTTGTATATCAAGTCTCAAGTTACCTGGGCGTTATTCGACGAGACACGGAAATTTCGTGCAGTGTTATTTGATCAAAACTTTTAAATTTCCGATAAAGACTTTGCACTCGCTCACTATTAAAAGAATGAATTTCTCAGCTGGTTCACATTGCGATAACTCATTTCTATTATTGTAGAGATTGCACTGCATTCTTTGATTATTTATAGTTTTAACAAAACTAGTATCAATGATATAAAAACAACTCACTAGTAGAAGTTTCAAAATACACGTGAAAGAGAAAAGCAATGAGGCAAAAAACTTTAAATTTTGAATGACAATTTTCTTTTATTTGTCTTTATCACTTTTCCTCTACTCTTAATGTTTTCTAAGTGATCGGTATGACGATAGTGGAGACTATCTTGTTTCAGATTATCTCTAGAGATTAATTCTTATCATGCAAAGACTTTACACTTCTTTGTTGAATAGAAAACTACAAGAACCATCCAATACAGTATAAATATTATTTCTTGTTATACTTTATTTATATAAATTCGTTCTCAAGAAATATTATTACGATCATCAATATTGGCAAGAACAAACTCGTATCACGTAACCAGTATAGTAAAGATGAGCCATTACAAACTAAATCTTGTCGACTGGTGATCCTATAATTAGTAACTGCCTATCATTTAGACACCAGGAAAAAAACGATTAGGAGAACGTTCGATATGACGTTTTGGCATTTCAATCGGACAGTAAATGTCAACAGCGTTTACTTCAATTACGAATATGTTATGTTATGTTATTCTAATACCTATTAGGATCATAGTTTTGCTAATTAATAAGTGATTGAAAGTGTCCGTCAGTATGTTGCTGAATTGAATTATATTCTATAAGGAAAAATTTCAAAAAATGATACAAACATATTTGATTATAAGTTAATAATAGCGAACTAAATAGATTTGATTGTAAATTAATTGCTTCGAAAAGAAAACACGAATAGGATACGAACAATTGAAATCATTTTTCTAGGATATATGAGCTATACTGAAAAATCTATCCCATGAGTTAGATATGCTTTAGTAAAAGAATTATTTTCTTTAGCATCTCTCGTGACAATAGGGCAAAATAGGCTGTATATTAATTAATTATATTCAAGCATATGAGATGGAAATACTATGACATAAGTAAATTCTTTGTTTCTCTGAAAAATAAAAGGAAGCAAATTATTATTCTTTTTTGAAGTCATTTCAGTGAGAGAAAAAAGAATCTTGAATGAAATAACAAATGAACTTTCTTTTTTCGAAACATTGTTTCATGAAAAGAATAAAAGAAAACAATATCTATTGACGGAAAACTTTTTGTTGTCACGAGAATAAATGGCATGCATCCATTAGAAATCAATTTTGACATTTCTGAAATTCTATTCATTTGCTTTCAGTAACACACGAATCGATCAACAACATGTGTCAAAAGTCAAACAAAGAGATATATACCATTACAAAAGAAAAGCGCATCAATCTTATGACACACATACATACACATGCACAATAGATATAGATATTAGCAATCTTATAATGAGCCCATCAATTCTTTTTATTGATATCATCATACGTCAGCTGTCGCGTTTGTTCATAGAGAGTTGCGTTAAATGGAAATTCTACTTTGCTTCCTTAAATCTGTTCCATTGGTCCGGTTTAAAAACTGAAGTTGACTGCAATTTGGATATTGACAATGAGTTTGCGGCCTTCTGAATATATTTAATTTGTGATTTTCCATCATATGATCAAAATAAAGTAAATGTTTTATATTCTGAGGTGACCGACGTGAACGCCAATGATGTCGGCGACGTTTTCGACAAGTCAATAACGAACATCCGGCACAACAATGTCGTATGTTTGAATTTTTATCTAAATCGACATTCGAATGAAACGTTGACGTGGATGAAGATGATGCTGAGTACAATGGAGATGCGTGCATAAGTGCATATGCTTGTCCTGGCAATGAATGATGATTTAGATTGTTATTATTCAAACAAATACGATTATGTTGTTGTACATGTACAGATGCACGATGATGCGCGATCGCAGCAGCGATTAGATCTTCTTCATTTTGACTAAGAAGAGCGGATACTCCACTAGTAGCGTTGTCAGATTGAAATCGAGCAAGACGAAGTACTAACAAGTTCAACGACGAAGCCATTATGGCTAGACCAAATACAATAAACGATATAGTAAATACAAAATAACCCCAACGAGAATAAAGTGATTCGCCTGAACGTTGTACACTAGCCAATGGAACTAAATCACCAAAACCTTAATAAAACAAATTTGTTACGAAATATGATCGCGAAAAATGTATTTTGTTTACGCATTTACCTATGGTCCAAAAAGTAACAAAGGAATAATAAATTGATTCGAAATATGTCCATTTTTCTTGTTTACAAAAAATAAATGAACCACCGAGTATGAGCATTGTTGTCATACCAAATTCAACAGCAATTAATTCAAAACCGGTTACTTTTTGACGACGAAATCCAAACAAACGTTTTAGACGTGCTAACACAAAGGAAATAATCGTATTTAAACGTTCACCAGTCGATTGAAACATAATTAGATTGAGAGGTCTACGAAGAATAACTTTCAAAATCAGTCATAATCTACAATCTTTTGAACTTACACGCCAGCAACTGTATAAGCCATACAAAAGATTTTACCGCCGACTAAAATCACAAGAACTTTCTTTTTCATGCTAAAACTACAACAGTACATACTTGTCTTTGGTGTTGTGTGCCCATAACCTAAGAAAAAATTAATTTTAGTTAAAATTCAAATACATCGAAAAATTACCAATAAGAGTCACAACTAATGTTGAAAAATAGAAAGCACCAGGAAATGTCCATTGTTTAGCTGTTCCAGTGCGTACATGTCGATTTTCAAATATAGCTGATGTTAAACTATGAAACGCACTTTCATTTTGAATTGTATCATTTCTATATAAAATACGAGCCATTTTAAGTCTTAATGTAGCACGAGTACGAGCTTCTTCTTTCGATTCCACTGAAATATGAAATTCGATATGATTACCAGGAAAAATATATTAAGCGAGAAGAAGAATAACTTACAAGCATCAAATACAGCTGCACCGAACATCAAGTAGGCAAGCACAATGAACATAAGTGCACATGTGCGTATGTTTTCTGTACCGAAAATCATTCGAAAGACGATGGTCTCAAACCCTGAGAATCAAAAAATCTTACAACATTCGACCGGAAACCATCATTTTAATGATACGATAGGTATCACATCTAAAAATCATGAAGAACTATAATAGTACAAGCCTTTCAATTGTTTATGTAATATTTTAAAGCATTAAAAAATATTTTCTCATAGACCTTGATTCTCTCTCTCTCTCTCTCTCTCTCTCTCTCTTCTTCTTCTTCTTTTAATCATATATCATTTCAAATAATGAAAGTGCTACTGGACTCAACTACCGTCGTAACACAATCACACATAGAGAACCGAAGAACAAGAGAAGAAAGACGAGAAAAATAAGAAGAAGACGGAGAAGAAAAATAAGATAGAAATATCATAGAGTATTTTTATTGTGCTACTTGTGTTGAAAGCGACGATCCTATGAAAAAATAATGAAACCGTTTTCTCCATTTTCGCAGCATGCGCCTACTTATAAACGTATGGTGCGAAAGGACGATTGTGATCCGTTTGCATGCTCGGACTCTGACAGCGATCTAACTATATTATAAATAATAATTTTGCATCCATGCTACCCCATTTCTTTACTACAAATACTCATTATTCGCTACGATTAGATAGAACTGCTTGGCAAGGCATTCCTATCATAATCAGACACTGTGCAATCAACTGCAAAATCTGCTGTGCATTCGCCTATTCACATACACAAGGAGACATCGTTAGAACAACACTAACTGAATTCAGAAGTGTAATATTCATAGATACCTGGTGTTCAAAGATAAACATTCGTTTTCTCTTTCTCCATTGTTTTCTTAACAGTATTCAAACAAAAAATTGGATGTTGTCACGTAAATTAAAAACTGATAGGTTGCTGCATGACCTATTTTAAATCATAGAAAGAATGTATCAGTATACTGAAGCAAAAACCAAAGTAGACCTCGTGCAAATACTTAACTATTACATAAAAATACTCTTAATATAAAATGTCGTTCAAATACTGGTGCATGCATGAAGTGCTCGTTTATGACGCAGAAGAAATGAACTAGCTTTTAACTTGTAAACAAATTCTAGGTGAAATTACTTTTCTAATGTTTCATGAAAACGCATCTTTTCTTTTGTATTCTTCTTCATTATCGTAAAAATATCACAGCCATTAGATTCTCTCCGTATTACCAAAAGAAAAGAAACACAAAAGCAAAAAAGAAGAACCCGGCTATTGAATTATATTTTTCTTTTGAGCAATCTACTTGCTAGTTTTTTCCCCTCATACACAATATATTTCTTTATGCATACGAGTGAACATCATTCTACTATATTCTCCAATGAATTTATGAAATATCTCTCTCTCTCTATATATAAAATAATCGAATATCGACTTACGATAGGTACATCCAATTGAATAATCTATTGGTGTCTGGATTTTAAAGTAAATAAAATCAATTTAATAATACAATATAAATTTATATGATTTAAAAAAATGAAAATATTTGGGCCGCGTTTTAATTAATATGAAGAAAAAAAAATCATAAGGGGAATCAGGATGATAGCAGATCAAATCTATGCCAAAAGAATTTCATGTTATATCCCAATGGAAATACGCTTCATTCTCTATCTATATAGATTTGTGTTTATATAAGAAAACTAATCAACAATAGAATACACGAGGAAACACATCCATTCTTGTGTGTGTGCATAATTATACATGTATATACATCAAGAAAGTCTAAGATTATTTTATTTCTCGATTCCGCCGTTTTCTATTGTATTTTGTTTACTGATAACGTGTTCGTATTCATTGAATTAATGTGTATCATGCGTGTATCTTGTACGATTTACGATTAATTTGATTATGGGCTACTAAGTTTAAAGCAAACCAAGATAGTTTTAATCAACTTTTATGAAAATAATACGTAGTAATATAAGACCGAAATGATTCGATGTCATATAATTAAATATTATTAGCACAAGAAACATGAAAACTGAACTTAGTCTCGTTTTTCTTTTGGACATCTTTTTTCTATAAACTAAAGCTAGGCGTCGAAATTAATTGATTTCATTTTTTATAGATGATTACTTACAATAGCAATAGGATAGAAATAAAACGTTACAAGAATAACAATAACAGACGTGATGAACGGTGAAAATAAGTCTACATATACTGCGCGAAGTGTCGAAAAGAAAAATCTTTGGCATGCAACAGTTTCAGACCATTTTTTTCTTATTCTTTCATCGAAGCGTAATAAGTCCTTGCATGCATATGCAATAAAAATAGATAAACTAATAGAAACTTACAAATCTGATTTGCTCAAGTTATTATGCTGATTCAAGTTGATGTACATTAGATATTCAATGTGCGGCTCTAAATAAAGATTTCAAGCAACAGTAATTAATGATTGATGCGAAAACTTTTAAAAAGATAGAAAAAGTCTTTTCCTTTTTTAGTTATTACATTATTAAATTTTGTCGCTTACATTAACATATCTGTGTTTCCTAGAGAGAAAAAGAAACTTATTCTTTTATCTCTACTATTTTCCTATCCATTAGTATAACGGGTGTGACAGCTGTTACCAGCGCTGTCAACATGACATAGATGAATAGTAGTGTTAAACGTTCGTATGCGATGAATATAGCAAATAGTTTATCGAAATATGTAAGAAGAACAAAAAATAACATGATAATAATTGTGTTTAACAAAATCAATGTTTATGAATGTTTGTTTTGTTATAAATAAATAGTTTTCACTGCCAATGTCAAAATAAAACATCATCTTAACAAATTATTTATAACAATGAAACTTAATTAGCAGCTACAGTATTTGTTTTGACGAAAATTTATTTTTGTTTTGAAAAATTAACAATCCGAATAACATGATACCATTTATTGACGTTAGGAAATTTAAATCAAGTTCTCCTTTTTTTTCTATAGTTCAAATTTATTTATTTTCAAAATTAATCAAAGTCAGATTTAATATCCAATGAAAATTTTTCATTTAGTTTAAATCAAAACTTCTATTCGAACTACGTTCGTAAACTTTATACCATTAAGTATTTTGAGTACGAAAAGAAATGCTTTTGGTTAATCTGACAAGATCAAGTCTTAAGGAGCTTAGCTTTTTGCGTCAATAAAAATAATATTCATGAACGCGACATAACAAAAATAGAAAGCGAGCTTAAGTCTACGAGCGATGAGATATTCTTCGAAATAATTATGTCGTTTCTTTCAATTTTCAAACAAGCATTTCTACCCATTAGCTTGTGGTACATGAAATTTTCCTAGTGAATGTAATGGCACAACATGTGCCAATACATTTGATGTAACATAAATCTAATGCCTACGGCGTAAAACATGCGCATCGAGATAATATATTCGACGATTCTTTCGTTCAGATCTCGTTTACAATGATTATCCTCTTATCATTGAAGTTGTTTTCATGGTCCAGCAAACTTCAGCTGACAATCATGACCGAGTACTGAATGCAAGTGACGTTAATGATGAGATCAAAGTATATATTTATTTTGGGCACGAGTGCATTTGTTACAAGAAATGCATTACATATTAAAGCATCTTGTCTCAGAATCTTTTTATAGAATGATTCAACTGGAAAAGAGAATAAGACAGACAGATGCTTGTGTTTCTTTTTAATCTGAAACTATTGTCTACTTAAGAATTCCAATAAGATTAGTTTATGAAATAGTCTTGAACATAAAACAGAAAGCACATTTTTTTCTTCTTTTCCATAACAATAAAAGAACGGATCGTATATTGTTTCTGTTTACATGCAAGAGCACAACAATGTTAGAAGACAAATTTCTTTTTGTTTTATATTCAAGAGAAATATTAGAATCGTTATTCTGTACAGAAGACAATACTAATAATTAATTGATAGAAATACTGTCATTAATATGGATTCGTTTATTATTGCAGATTATTTATTTATACTATGTACAAATGCCATAGAGAATTTTCTTTCTTTTTTTTCATATACAACCATGTGTATGCTAGTGTGTTATATCGTTGTTCGTAACAGAATAAAAGTTTTTATTTATTTATGTACAGAATACAATGGGTCATGGAGAAAAATAAATAAATACATATATATATAGAGATTTATCACAAACGAATTAGTCAAATTCTGTGTAAATATCATCATTCATCCTTGGTGAATAACTTCTTTTGAAACAATTTTTATATTGGCACATCCATATGGATACGGTTTCATTTGATATTTTATCGCAAAATGATAAATCAAGGAATTCCAAATATAAGCAACGTTTTAATACACACTCAACTGTTGATTCAATAATTATACTTGATCCTAGTAGATCAAGTTGACGTAATTGAAGACAGTGTTCACTGACTGCCATTATATCTTCATTATTAACACCTAATTAAAAAAAAAGAAAAAGAAAAATTGGATTTTTTTGAAGAGTAATTGTTTGTTTTCTCAATTGAAATGATGAATCAACTGTTGCCTTCTTAAAAATAGTATGGCAATAACATGCAAACTGCCAAGTCGAACGTGTTGCTCTCAAATGAATGAAAGACCTTCAGTGTTTCTATTACCCTCAATAATACTGATCGATTATTGCTCAATGTGATGAATGAGCATGTGAAGAATGTGCCTGGCAATAATTTGTAAATATTTTTTCTGAATTTTTCAAACTTTCATTTGAGTATTTTTGTTTTTTGAATTATTCTAAAAGCAGGATCCTTTTACTCTCACTGTCGAGTAAAAACTAAGAAAGATCTTTAAAGAATTCATAGTCTACTTATTAGAACGGAGAAGTGCTCAAGTCATAGTTCAATCGTATACAGATCATAGAAGAATACATTCTTTCAATTCGGAAATAAACCTGAATTAGTTTGTACTCCAGAATCGAGTTAGTTGGATCAAAATGTATAAAATTCCATAAAAACTCTTCAGTCAATGAATAATTTGTCGAATGCGGAAACTACTGAAGTACTGAGAGTCGGAGTTTTTGAAAAACTGCTTGAAACTAAAGTCATGAGATAGATACAAAAGTTGCGAAACCTAAGAAGAGAAATCTTCATTTTTCCATGCTTCAGATGAGAGATTTGCACTAATGCGTTCGTTGATACTGATTTATGCAAGATCTTCAATTTGAACAATTCAATATTGAAAATTCTCGTATCTATTGGATAATTTAACGACTATGCTTGCAGCGATACTTTTGGAATCGTCGAATCCTATAGGAAAGAAGATATCGACACTCTCAGTTTAAATGGTAAGTCCTCGTCAATAAATGACTGACCTTTTCGAACTAATTACGATGCTAAAACTATTTTGCAATTAAATGCATCCCAATTTTTTCATCCTATTCATTAAACTCAGTTACCTGTGAGAAACTGAGAATAAAATATGCAACTAATTGTATAAAATTCTGCTTTCTATCAAGATTCCAGTTTGTTAGTTCTTTTCATTCAGATAAATATTGAGTATTAGATATAAACAGATTTAAATGAATCTGTTAAGTAAAAGGCGGTACAAACCATGTTTAATAGTTTGCTTCTCCTTTTAACTTACGTCGGCAAGCTGTTAAGAAAAGTTTAATTAAGGAATGCCCCACTTGTTGTACAAAACTTCTTATAAAACCAGATGGCGGATCTGTCCAACCGAGATCAATTTCTCTTAAATATTTCATATTTATTAATGAATTGATACCGATAGGCATATTAACACTTGAATAGAGAATAGCTAATTCTTCTTGTTCATCTCTTGATAAATTCAATATTCGTCGTTTTTCTTCTCCAGTATCGAAGTGTGAGCCAACAAGAGAGAAAAATCCATTTTGTGTTAAACCATATGTACGCCAAAGGTCAACGGACCGAAGATTTGTACAACGAGAAAATAATAGTCTAATCATACCAATAGTATCACTAAGCTTTTGGCAACTCCCTAAAAACAGAAATAATAAAAAAAAACTAAATCAGCCATGTGTAAAATTTAATGAGTACATAAAAAAAGATCTAGGCGAAAATAATTTCCGTTGTCTATTTAAGATTCCTCACTTTTTTTGACAACGCGCTTATATTGATTAAGTTGACTGATAATCGATAAAACAAATCAACAAAAAGTCACGCACACAAAAGTAGCTACTCATTATTTTTGAATGATGGTATTTGCGTCGTTCGATATCTGTCAGTCAATTACGTATACGAAGATCATGTGATTTCCTCGAAAATATCGTTTACGTAGATTTAACTATTTGAATATTATACGTTTCATAGTCAAGGAAAAGTGGTATTGTTTTATTGAAAAATTAAGAGCGCTAATTCTACAAGCATCATACTTAAGATTTGTCTAAAGCTTTTCAGGTGTTTGGCCAAGCCCGTTCAAGAAATCAATTGTTCATATCGTTCTTTTGAGGAAAATTGCATAACCAGAGCGCTATGAGATCACATAGAATATCATAGTCAAGTATCTCATGAGATTTGTATCAGCAAAAGCTTCTGTCATATTCTAACACGTTCCATATGTGTTATTACTAAGAACAAAGGAAGAAATCTTCCATAGCAGTTAACATTGAACAACATCAATGTTCTGTTTGAATCAGTAAATTATTTCTTTTCAAAGAATCTATGGTTATAGTTGCTGATATTGTTTTCATGAAAAAAATCTTAGCAGGGGCCATTGAAAATTTCTGATACTCAATGGGATAAATAATCTAAACATTTCATCATTGGTCTTCTTACCTAAATTAATATGTTCTAAATTTTTTTTATTATTATCAATAAATGGCAATAAAGTTCTATAATCAATTTTTGTTCTATAAACATTTAATGATCGAACACGATCAAGATATTTTAATGGTATAAAATCCAAATTGTTTAATGAAATACAATTTTCTAAATTTAATATTTCAATATTTGGACAACAATTAACAATTATTTTTATATAAAGCCCATTTAAATATTGACAACAAGCAAGATTTAATTGTACAAGACCATTCGAACAAACGTTTAATAATTGATTGAACGATGAACACTGTAATGACTTTGACCAAGCTAATGAAATATATCGAGTTCGAGTGCAATGACGTAAAAAGAAATTTTCTATAGTAAAATTTGTTATGCCATTCCAGTAGGGTTGTAAATTGAGGGATTGAAATTGTAATGGATGAAGACATTGATTATGCAATGTTTGACATGTGGACGACAATCGAATTAATGAACGTAAATCAAGATAAGAACAAATTATAAATAAAATATCAAAAGGAAGTTTTGATAAATCCATGGAAGAATTTGATTCTTTGTTTTGTTCGTCTATTATTGTCTAAAATAGAATTTAATTAGAATAAGAAAACGAATTTATAACTAATTTAGCTAACTGTTAAAGACGGTTCTCTTTGTTCATTACTTTCGTTTAACACTGAATCAGTAGGTAGAATTTTTCCAGATAAAATAACGGTATCGATTTCGGAATAATAGCTGACTGTGCTATGATCAAATTCCAAACGAATCAATCGTGTTGGAAATGAAATTTTATCTTTTAACGAAATTTTCACAATGCGTGGTAAACGAGCGGCCGGTGGACAAGTATGGCGTGTATAAGCATTTAAATTTAATGTTTGTAGAACAGATGAATCAGTTTTGATATGATCAGGAAATAAATCATTCGTTGATTGAAGACCTGAAATAAAGAATCAGATTTCAAAGCGATCAATTCGACTAATATCAAGTTTAAAGTTGATACTGCTCGAACCTTCGGACACTTGACCTATGATGTTTAGAAAAATAAACCTCGTAATTATTCTTACCATTTTCAATAATTATTTCTTCACTATTACTTAAAACAATACTAAATGGTTGAGGAAACGACCAAATTCTATGCCAAATTATATTTCCATAGTGATCTTCTTTTCCAACATAAACAACTTCGAGTGTTCCCGGATTATATGTTTCATAAATATTCAAACTATAACATTCATAAACAAAATCTCGAAATTCAATATCAATAAAATCTCGACTAGTAAAATGATTTTCCCATCGAGTAAAATTCTTTGTTTCTTGATACGATGGCAAATTAATCCACCATGGACCGTACGTACGAAATACAAGTGCATGTGTTGAATCTCCATATAAGGGATATATTTCAGGATTTGAACATACATTCGATACAACATAACTGTCACTACCATTCGATCCATATTGAGATGAAAAATTACGAATAGCGATTGGCGTTTGTTCTTTTATCGTATTAATCGCCTTTAATAGATTTTCAGTGGAATTTTGATCATTATTTACAGGTAGATCTTCTATAGTGTCAGTCAAATTTAATAAATTCCTTAGTTGATTACGTAATATATACAGTCCAGCAGATGCTAGCATCATCTTTTCCTGAGATTAAAAAATATCTGAAACAAAAATAGTTTAATTTAATTGACCTTGAAACAGTTTGATGTATCGTTTTCTATGCGTCATATGAAGTGCGTGAGCAATATTTTCCGCCTCTATATTATTCACATACGTGTCAAGGCAAAGAAAAAACAAACACATTGCGGGGACACTAATGTTTTGATTACTTTTCGAAATTTTGATAAAGAAAAATCACTCATCTGATTCTTCAATCTAATATTAAGGTATAAAAGAGGATTTATCATACAATAGTGTAACTATCAATAGAAACACTTCCCTCATGGCAACTGTAACATACAATGATGAAAGTTTCGTGGAAAGAGACGAAGTTGTCTATCCCCGTAGCGATGTGATCGATGCGGAACCACATTACAATAATTTTACGGCCATTCAAAAGGCAATACGATATGATTATGAACAACAACAACAATCAAATGTTGTAAGTCACATTTTTATCAAACTTTCGGAAATTTTCTTTCTTGGAAAAAAATGCACAATTTAACTCTTCACTCAATTATAATATGAAGACTTGATTTTTTGAAATTTCTTTGCCATTTAATACAAATATTTTTCTCTTTATTTAGACTAATCATCATCGAAGTCATTCAACCGATAATCAATATCGAGCAATTCGCACGCTAGTCGAACCCTCTTCATTACGTCATGCTCAATCTAATGAAATACTTGATATGAACACTCAACATCCATCGAAATCTACATTTATTCCAATAAAAATTGAAGCAAAACGAATCGATGGGCATATTTTTAATTTAACTAAAATTATGGAAGATATTGGCTATAATAGAGATACTCCATTTATCCGCCCTTCATCAGATTCCAATACGAAAAATATTAGTGCTTTATTAAATATTGTTTTAAAAATGGGGGGTGCAAATGGACCACTCGTTAATGTTTGGCGCTCACGTATAGATAACGATTATTTTCAACGATGGTATCTGGATAAACATCGTCAACGTTCTGCATCATTGATTCAACATAATACCATAAATAATGTAAACGAAAATAGAACGCAATACTCACAAAATCGTGATTTTCAATCGAATTTAGTCATCGATCATTTGGCTACGGAAAAATTACCAACACAACCAATGATAAATGAAAATTATTATGAAAATGTAGCTAGAAGAATGTATGGGTTTGATGAAACCGATACAATGAGCACAGCATCAACTCCTTCTACATTAAATGAAATCGAATTAGACAGTGATTTTAATTCAAATCAAAATCAACCCCCGCCATTAATAAGAACGATTCTAAAAAAACCTGATACTTATTCAAATCAAAATTCACAAACAAAACGTGTTACTATTCGTACAAATAGTCCAACAAATCAAACAGTATCATCACAACAAATAAATTATAATAGTAATCAAAATGTTCTATCGGACTATCAACAATTTATTCAAAATCATCCCGACGTGCATAACGACCCAAATCCTCAAGTAATTGTTAAACCAAATCCAGATCAAGTTACTTATCAACAAAATGTTTCTGTTCGATATCTTGTTCCGCCAACACCTCCACCACCAGGACCATTAATTATTCGAGGTAGAAACTATTCTTTTACATCAATAAAAACAAAATTTTGATTCATTTATTTCTCTATTCTAGAAATTGCTCCACCGCGTCTACCAACACCTCCTCCAGTCATAATCAAATATCAAGAACCATCTCCACCAACTCCTCCGCCTCTGATTCTTCGTGAAGCTCCACCACCGCCACCTCCAAGACAAGAAACAACAGTTATCACCAAAATTTTACCTCAAGAACCTCAGCCACCAAGACGTGTCATTATCGAAAAAAGTCCACCGGTACGATAAACTTATCCTCTTATCTAAATTAATATTCGATCATCCATTTTTCTAGTTGCCTCCAAAACCTCAACCAGTTGTTATTGAAAAATGGCTTCCGTATAAGCCAGCGCCACCACGAGAAGTTATCCATGAACGTATTGTTCAAAACCCACCGGTTTCACAATATCAAAACGATGCTGCATATACAGAACAACAACGTCATCAAACTGAGTTTCATACAAATACATCTAAAGTGCAAATGTCAGCTAATAGACAACAACAAAATTCTAGCCAATATTCGCAACAGGAATATGCTATTGAACAGCAGGTACTACCAGAAGACCTTATTTACGAACGTATTGTTGAAAATCCACTGCTTCCACAATACCAAGCAAGTGCTGCATATGCAGAACAGCAACAGCAACAACGTCATCAAACTGAATTTCATAAAAATGCATCACGCGTACAGATGACACCTACGAGACAACAACAAAATTCTAGCCAAAATTTACAACAGGAATATACTATTGAACAACAGGCACCACCAGAAGACCTTATCTATGAATCTATTGATGAAAATTCACTATTTCCTCAATATCAAACAAGTGCGGGATATACAGAACAACAACAACAACAACAGCGTCGCTCGACTGAATTTCATAAAAACGCAACACATGTACAAACGGCAGCTAATAGACAACAACAAAATTCTAGCCAAAATTTACAGCAGGAATATGCTATTGAACAGCAGGCACCACAACAAGGCCTTATCTATGAATCTATGGGCGAAAATCCACTCTTTCCACAATACCAAACAGATGCTACGCGTGTAGAGCGACAACGTCGCCATTCCGCTGAATTTCATACAAATGAATCACATGTGCAAATGGGAGCTAATATGCAACGACGAAATTCTAGTGATCATTTGGTACGGGACTATATTGTTCAACAACCCCCATCAGGATTATTTGATCAATTAGCATGGAGAGCACATCAACAAATGTTAGCTATGCAACAGCAAGGTAGAGAACAATTGCAAGCACATCAACAATGGGCAGCAAATCTATGGCAACAACATGCAAATATGTACTCACAGAGTCCAATGCAATTAACAGCACCTTCAATGCTCGTTTATCATCAACCGATTGTCATGCATACAGCTTCATACGTTGAAAGACAAGAATATCAACAACAACAACAAGTACAATATAATCCAACATATGTTTATCCTTTTATGTAATTCTAAAACTCTTATACATATATGTCGGAATTGACTTTAACAATCGGCTGTTTGTAAAAGGCTACGTGTTTATTGTACAATTTAAAACTGAACCACTTAAATATAAATGCATAAAATTGTTATACATTATACTCGAGAATAAACTACTTAAAATTGTTCCACATTGACATTAGTTTCGAATTACTCGTAAAAAAAACACTGCCATCGTATGATTAGTAATTATATCATAACAAATAGAAAGTAGAAGTCGTGCATTTCTAACTTAGCATTAACAGGCTATCCCGTATAGCAGTAGAGCTCATATTTCTGTATTAAACTCGCCTAGTTATAGTTGCGCATGCCTAGTATGAAATATTCACGCTAGTTAAATTCGCATTGCAAATTCTGTCCATTCGAAACGTGTATAACAATTTTACTTATCTATGTTTTAAATTCGATTCTGATATATATATATTATGTATTCTTGCTTATTCTTTGCACTGCATATAAAAGGTGTAACCTATATTCATTTTATAACAATTATTCTCTTTTATAATAAATAATTCATCGATATTATGAGGAACTGATATCTTGGAAATTTCTCTCAATACACTTTTTTCATACTGAACAATATACTTATGTCGGGAGTTCAGTTTTTTACATGATACCAGCTAAAAATAATTTTTAATATTTATTTTAACGGAGATTATCATGTTTTATTTATTGCTTCAATTTAACAACAACAATCAATCAATGATTTGGTACTATTGTTGTCTAAAAAACTGATCAAAATTTTCTTAAAATGAATAATTTCGCATGGCCAATGATTTTACATTCGAGGAAAAAACTATTCTATAACAAATCAATCATTTTCATTAAAAAAAAGCACTACTTAATTACCTGTGATCGCTCATCTGACTTACTACTACGTCAAAATATGTTAAATATTTTCTACAAACATAGAGATTTATCTCTTTCGTGATTGGTTTAAACTTTCACCAATGATATTGTTGATTATTTTCTACGCACGTGTTTTTCTTCTCAGTCAGTTGGTAGGATATGACGAAATAAACTACTGTGAAACTTGTCAACAGTCCTATTTTTCTCCTCGAAGATGAAAATCATTCTTATGCAATATGAAACTTTCTGCTTTTTATTCATACATTTATGTAAGACAAAATCTATTTCAACAATCGAATTAGTTATATTTTAGCAATGTTCATGATTGAATTAGCATTTTTTGCCATTATAAGAAAAAGCATCTTCCAAATGTTAAACTTCGTTTTATCGAATCTGATCAATATAACTCCATATCCAATAAAGTCTCTTTAAGAAAATAAAACAGTTCATGTGCCTTATATTTTTAGATGGAACAGAATTCTATTTCAGAATTAGAAGATGATCTTAATCATATTGATGTTGAAAGTATTAAATTAGATGCTATCATACAATTGAAGACATGGCAAAAGAGAATGTACGCATTAGTCGATAAAACTTATAAAAATCGTCTTAATGAAATTGATTCCATAACATCAAATATAGAAAATGAAATCAAAGAAAAACAAAATCAAATTGAAAATTTTCATACAACGGACCCAAATAATCTTCATGAATTAAAACATGAGATTGAACTATTAAAATCTTATCTTATTGTAAATGAATCAATTCCAGAAAATTTTTCTCAACGTATCGAACGAACTATTTATATTTCACAAAATGATAACAATACAGAGATACTCGATGACGACGACATTGACGATGATGATGAACCGGTTATTGTTGATATCGATAGACATGAAGCACGTGCTGGAAATCATGTTGTGATGGTTGTCGCAGCAGCACCTCAACAACCAACAGTCAATCACGAAGGAACAGTTTCGAAAATTGTTAATTCTCAATCTATGCAACGTGTCATTGCTATTACCTTAGCTAAAACATTGGCTAATGTTGGTACAATAGCAGCAACAACAACGACAACTGCTGCTGCTACAACAATGGCTAAAACAGCGATAATAGCCACTGCTTGTGGGATTGGTACAGTAGCTTATGGAGTTGGGAAAATTGCAATTGGAACAACGAAAAAAGTTTGGTCATTAATGGTGTCATCTGAAGAATAAAAAGCAATGACAAGGCCTTTTCTCTTGTATATTTTGTATTAATTTCTTTTTTTTTTCTAAAAACCCCTGCGAAATCTTATGAGTTACATATATTCTTTTTTGATTAATTAGCAATCCGAGATTTTCTTTTCTAGATTTGTCATGGCTGAAACAGGTGATTCTATTTCATCGATGGCTAGTATCAATACAAAAAATGTTAATATTGAATTAGCTGGTAAACATTTTCATAGAGATTATAGGATTTTTTTTTCATGCATCAACTTCTTTTAGCTCGTGAACCTTGGCCAACAAATGCTAATCTCTATGTTCCACTGAAAGAACAAATGATTCTATGGGCGCCGGATTGTTTAAGTACATTATGTTTATTACGTAAAGTACGTGTTCCAACTTTACATATTGAACATGTTCGAAATGCTGCTGAAATGTCTAATTATGGTAAATAGATGAATATGTTTCATCATTAAAATAGAAGACCATGAACTACTATTAGGACAATTCACTTTGAAAAATAATTCTCTCTGCTATTCCAACGGAATAGGAATGTCGAGTGTAAATCAAGATTATTTTATATTTTCAAAGATTAAGAGATCGATTGTAAATACCATGTATTAAAAACAGCTTTTACGAAAGTTAGAATTTGAAATCTCTAGGAAACTCATGGCCTTTTATTCCATAAAGCTCTATTTATATTGTAATTTTAATTTTATTATTATCAAGGTGTTCCACCGGTATTAACATTAAATAATAGAATATTAAGTGAATTTGATGAAATAGCTAATTTAATAGAACTCAAGGTAAATTTGATTTAAAACAAACTATATCTATTTTACTATTATAAATCAATGAATAGGGATTACTCGTTGTAGAACCTAGAGGAAAGTCAACTGTTGAAAGTTACTCAATTTTATGTACTGAAGTACTTGGAAGTCTCATGGTTTGTATTTATTTTTTGTATTTGAGCAAAACATTGTCAATGAATTCTTTTTAGAAATATTTTACATTATGTGAAAACGCTGGATCGGTTAGTATAAATAAAAGTTTAAAATATAGTTTTTGTTTTATTTTGTATATTATTAGAGTGTGTATCAATCATTCACGTCTGTTTATCCATGGCCTCTTGGCTTAATTCTATTTCTAATCTATCAAAATCGCACAATAAAAAATTTAAAAGTGAAAGAGATCTGGTCACTCACCTATGAACAAGTATGTACTCGTTAAAATTGAAATCTATCAATCGAAATAGTTTAATTTTAGGCTTTAACTAAATTTGAAATAACAGTCAAAGCTCTTTCCAATAAAATTCAAGAAAATCATTCAAATCATGTACTGGGTGACAAGTATGTTTATTTTATTTTACATAGGAATAAATAACAATTCTTTTCTTCTGAATAGCTTTACCAGAGCTGATGCTCATCTGTATGGTCATTTATATTCTATTCTTCACATGCAAATTAGTGAATATGAAAATCTGCGAAATATTCTTCACAAATACAGACCATTAGTTGACTATGTAAACAATTTGGACAGCGATGTAAATGGATTAACACTTTTAGCATCATGAAAAAAAAACTTCTTCGCTTTTTCCCTTCTAAGCGCAGATTAGGTTATTGTTTTTGTTTGTCACTTTCTTGCTTAGTTGAAAAACAGTTTCTTTTTATAGACCTAGCTGAATAAATTTTATATTTTGTCTAATTACGGGCAAAAATATCTGAATTTGAGTTTTGAATGATTACTTGTAATATTACTAATATTTTTTATCATTATTACAATGCATAAAAATGGAATTTCTTTCAATGATGTTCATTATGGTTCCTCGGTAAATACAGTTTTTGAGAAACACCTTCTCTTCAACAAGAATATATTATCTCTATATTTAAACGTTAAAAAAGTAGCATAATAGACTATGAATACACAAAGATCACATTCTTTTGTCTCAACAGAATTAATGAGAGTTTGAAGAATATAAGATAAAATACTCAAGAGTATATTCGTTTTCATCAACAGATCATCTGCTTCGACTTGTTGCGCTATATTTTACTGAAAACGCAATAACAAGGTACTAGTGACATCTGAAGCGAATCGAACATCATTGGACGAATATTCTAATTAGATAAATATCAAGTAAATCATCCAACAAACAAAAAAAAACAATAAATAATAAATCATCAAACATTTTCGAGAAGAAATTCGACTAATCTCAATTCTTCTCATCTTCGTGTTCTATTTTTGAATTCAATCACACACGCTCTCTCTTTCTTATTTCACTTTCGCAAGCAATATCAATGGCATTCGACGATCCATTCAATTCTAATAGTAATCTTGAGGGTGATAATACAACAAATAATTTCTATAATTTCAATGAGGAAGATCCAGCAGCCGAATTTCTTGAACGAGAAAAACGAGAATTAGGTGATATAACAGGCAATAGTGACACCAATTCATTTGAAGATCCATTTAATTCAAATGCTAACCAATTAACTAACGGTACTAATCATAGCCTATTTTAATTTTTAGCTAAATCTTTTTTTCTTTCTAGGTGCACATTCGTTGACTGCAAATTTAGGTGGTGCAAATTCACCGATATTATCAAATAGAAATGCTTCTCCCTACGAAGGATTATCTCAATATCACCACGAACAAATTAATGAGCCTGAGAAAATTCAAAAATGGAGAGAAGAATTCGCAGCACGCATTACAAAAAAAGATACTGAAGAAGAAGTCAAATCTAAAGATATGCGCGAACAAGCAAAAAAAGAACTAGATGATTTTCATAAACAACGTGTTGAACAAATGGATCGTACTAAAGGACAAAATCGTGTAAACAATCGTACATTAGAAGATGATTTATCTAATAATTCAGCAGCAACATCTAATGAAAAAGTTACTGATTGGGATAAAATTACAAGTTTATGCGAATTTAATCCAAAAAATAATCGTTCACAAAAAGATTTAACACGCTATAGAAGTGTTTTACTCCAATTAAAACAACAACAACAACAACAACAAATAGCTGCAAAATAAATTTTCATAGGAGAATTCTCAATGATGATCATAATGATGACTTTTTGTTTCGTTTCCTTTTATCTCTCTGCTTTCGGATGCGTTATCGTCGTTGTCTGTGTTTGATATTATTTTTTTCATTCCAATAATCGAAAATAAGCCAAACCCGACACGTCGTATCTGATTTATTTATTACCTCAGATTGTCCCCTTCGTCTATTTAATGTGCACTCATAATTTTTTCTCTGTATGATCTGAACTTTTTTTGTCTCGAAATTCTAGTTGCTTCATACTTTTTTTGTTGTTGTCGTTGTTCGTTATTGTTGTTATATTGCCTACTCTAACCAAAAATTTGATGTATTCAAAGAAATTTTCCTCTTCAAAATATATCAAATAATATTTATTCAATCTTTCAGATATCTCATCATAATGAGCGTCACAAATCTAGTCCGGTACTGTTCGCTAACATCAAAATTGAGCTGTTTTACAACACGATCTTTGCTATTCATACAATCTAGTAACTGTACGTGAAAAAACCCAGCCTAACTAAGTAAGTGATATCAAAATAAAATCTTATTTTAATATACGTAGGTGATGCTCGACGATATGCTGGTCATGCTCATTGGCAAAATATTGCAAAAACTAAATCCACTAATGATCAACTCAAAGGACGTATTATAGGAAAACTATCTACTAAAATTGTTACATCCATTCGACGTACGTGGTGAAATCTTAGAATATTTATTATCAATAAGCTACGTTTTTTCACAGATTACGAAAGTCATTCCAGTTGAGGTTTTTGACTAATTTAATGAACATTTATGGACTTTTCCCTATTAGTCGTAATCCTAAAAATAAGATTATTTTAGTAATGTAGAGGAGGGTAAGGTGACCTTTATCAATATTCTGACTGAGAAAAATCCTCTAATGCAACAGTTTTTAGTATTCTCTTCATTGTATCATCGCCATAAAACAATGTAATTTATAATTAGAAAATCAGATTTGTTTTTCTTGTTCTCTTCACCATGGTTCATAATAAGTTCCCAAAAACTTCTTCAACGAATAAATGTAGTATTCCGATATTTATTTATTTATTTGAAAAGTAGTTGCACATCTAAATATATTCTTCTTCTTATGGTTTAATGAAAGTCAAGTCTGCGTTCCTCGTAAATCTTTTAACAATTCGTTATAATAATTAATTTCAATCGCAAAGTATTTGTCATATTTTACGTCAAACTTCTTTTAGAAAATGGAAACGTTACCGATCCACAATACAATGCTGTATTACGAGCAACACTTGAAGAATGTCGTAAAAATAATATGCCCAAAGAAACTATTGATCGAGCTATTAAACGTGCTGTAAGCTATATTATTGATTAATTAAGAAGAACTACTAAAGAATTTTCTTGATAGATTGCTCAAAAAGATAATACAAAACAAACTCTATTTGAATTTGTTGGTCCCGGTCGAGCATTTTGTATTATTGAAATGATGACCGAGAATCCTAAACGTTCTTTTAATTATCTCAATAAGAGTGCCGCTAAAATTGGGTAAATTATTTTATATTAAATAAGTACAAAACAAAACTTTAATTTTCTTATTCAAGTATTCCAGAAATATCCAAAAGCGGACAAATCGCAGAATATTTTGATCAGCGTGGTTATGCATGTATTGAAAAAGCAGATATAACTGAAGATAAAGCCACAGAATTAGCCATAGAAATCAATGCCGAAGAAGTTATCGAAGCGCTTGATGATGACGGTGAACGAACAGTATGGAAAGTAAGTTAAAAAAAGCAACAACTGATATCGAAATAGTCTCTAATAAAAAACTAATGTTTAGTTTCTTGGGCCGCCAACATTCTACGGTCAAATGAAAGTTAATTTAACTCAACGTGGTTATACTGTAACTTGCGATGGTTCAGAATTTATTCCAAAAGTGACTGTACCACTAAATGACCGTGATAAAGCATTATTAAAACAAATCATCTCTATGTTTGAAGAGCTCGAACAAGTTGAAGGCGTTCATACTAATGCTGCATAAATTTAGTTTATTAAATAAATTTGTTTTTTTTTCCTAAAAAGAAAACATTTTCAAATAGAACTACTGATACTAAATTTACAAAAAGAAAAAAACCAATGATAAAATTAATGATATTCATTACAAAAGAATTGCTGGAAAATGGATATTTTCAGTGACTCCTATGACACTTAGAAGCTTCCGCTTTGTCAGTTTTTTTTGTTTTTTATTACTAAATCAGTGTAACGACTGGAAAGGTAACCTATTTTGTCGAATTTTGATAGTTAACACATGAGTACATGATTTTCTGCGGAATAATATTGCGTTCGAGTGCAATTTACTGCATAGTATCTATTTTTTTTCAATCAAGACTCTCATTGCTAATGAATGAAAGATATAATATAACGTGGCACAAGAACTTAAAAATCTTTCTCAGATAAAAATTCAATTGAGAATGAAAAATTAGTTATTATAAATTCAGTGATTTGATTCATAAGAAAAAACTGATGAATTGTAGTTTTAATAAAGTAACTTTTTCTCCGCTTGATTGAAATTCTTGTCTGATTCTGAAGTCTCTTTTATTTCATTAGAAACATACAAGCATATATATATACACATTTATGGACTGTTAAATGAATGAGGATGATTGTTTTCTGTTCCATCATTGGATGATGTTATTGAAATTTCTGTAAGTTCAGCAATACAATTTCTTTCGTCATCAAATTGACGTTTGGGATTAATCCGGTTGTTTCGTACAATGGAATAGATGCCTGTTGAACCTTTGGCATTTACTTTCATATTTGAATTTATGGTATCATTAATATTGGCAACACTTGCACGACTTTTCGGTTTTTGATCGACATAATCGCATATTGTTTTACGAAATAAAGCGATAATATTTTCGGGCGTTGTTGGTTTTGTTTGATCATGGATTTGCCGTCGAAATTGATTGATAATTAATGTACAATCTTCAGCTAATACATTGAGTATCAATTCACTTAATTCCATTTTAATTATGTCAGACAGATGATACGAGTCATTGATTGACTGTGATAAGTTCTTATTTGGTGTTAACCACGTATAATCTACTGATGCATGTCGTTTACTGGGCGTGACGACATTCAATGGCGAGTCGTCATATGAAGCAACAGGTGATCCATCAGTTGAACGAGTGAAAATATCAGAGCCTCGTTTATTTTGTGACATTCCAATTGTTACAGAATTTCGACATTGATTCTCTAATTCTTCTAGTAAAGTTTCAGCTGTAGAATTTCCATCCATATATGCATAACTAGCCGCTTGTATGTCAGCCGTCGTTGAATGACGACGAAATAAATTACTAAATGCCATTTTAAAATAGCGTTCAACAATCTATCTAAAAGATCAGAGAAAAAACTGAAGTCAATTTTTTCCGCTTGATTTTATTTGATTTTTTGATAACTTACTCAAAAAATAGAACACTGAATTAGAATTTATGATAAAAATTCACAAAGACAAACTACGGATGTGAGGAACTGACGCGAACAAATATGAATGAAACATTCTCTTCTTTTCTTCTGCTCAAGATTTCTATGCCAGATCTTTTTTTTCCTTTTAATTCTATAGAATGAGGCTTGACTGCATATGAAGATGACGAAGAATAGATTACCTTGTCGCCGAGAAGATCCTGTTGAACCAAAAAAAAGGATGAGAGCAAGGAAGGAAAACTCCATATAGATGTTATACAAAAGTCTTATACAAAAGAAAAAAATAGAAAAGTTTATTTTAGAAAATTTGATTCTCTTCATGATGGAGTTATTTTCTGGCACGGATGTGTTTTTTCTTGTTCTGCATTAATCTTCACAAATGAAACAATTTTTAATATAAAACTCATCCGAAAACGATACTTCCATCTACAACTCAAGTGTTTCATTTCATAATTTACTTTTTTCTATTGTTAACTACTAAGTTATCATTGATGGCATCATCAGGTTTTTATTTCTACTATTTTTCAGAAATTCATGTGTCTACTTAAAAAGAAAAAATCATCTTTTATTTTTTCAAAGCGGTTTATGTCAATCATAAGCAAAGTTGTTCTCTTTGCTTTTTCTTTTTATTGCAATCCAAAAATACATTTTTTAATGAACATAAGACTACATCAGATGATGAGAAATAAATCTGTTGTTGTAAGCATTAAAAGCACTTAAGAAAATAGCTGATGATAGACATGCACCAGTGCAGTCCATCTGAGATACTAGTCCGCTTGGGTATCCAGTCTGACTGGACATCCTGTAAATTGTTTGCTAGAAGCTACTTTTTCAAATTCCTGTGGGGAAGTACAGCGGTTAAAAATTTGAAAGTAGTTCTGCAAAATAAAGTTATCAGATAGGTAGCCCATGTCGAAAAAGTCAGAAACATACAATTTTATAAGCTCCGGTCCCAGCTAAAAAGGCTTCCAGAAACTGTATTTTGCCAAATCCCGATTTATTTCACAAAAATGATTTGAATTAATCGAAAATAAAACTATTTTAGGATATATTTTGAGAATTATTATTTCTACAGCGACATCTTTAATAAACTATTTGTCTCACAAATGGGACTGCTTTTAGATCTGTGACTAGTACAGGCGGCTCAGGCACATCGACATTGTAAAAGTGCGCCAAATTTAACACAATTTTGCCGGTTTAACAGACTTAAAAAATATTCAGTCGTTTCTATACTATACAAAAGGATGCATCACTTTCATGAGAAACCAGCAGTATACCGACGGCAGAGCGCACATTATACCGAACGGTGAACCGCTGGCTTTTTCCGGTTTGGATCACATGTAGGGATGTGAGAATACCATTTGGAGACACATAAAGATTGCTAATTTTCACAATGAACATCTACCAATACCAACAGAAAATATTCTCGTAACTTCATACAGGAAAATCTCGGTATAGGAACAACGTTTCTGAATATTTCTATGTCAAAAAATATCCATTTATCACACTATTTGACCTAGTGCAACAATCACTATTTAAAAAAAAAACAAGTCATTGTATAAAACTTGTGAACGCTAGGATATCATCTAGTAGAGCTTTTCTCAAGGGGAAAACGACGGATTTTGGGGATTTTAAATCCGAAAAATCCTCAAACCCACCTTTCCCACCTTGCCTTTTTGTTTGACTGAGATTCAAAATTTCTGGACTTCAACTCTGATTAATTTATATTGGCTTTTATGATAAATGTATTTAAATGAGATACTCAAATATTTCAAGTGATTTAACTATGAAGTTATTTAACGAATCTATTCAGTGTAGGCTGAATAATATATTCAGAATTAATTATGAATATTATCTTAAGTGTAAGAACATGTGTCTGCTTTGTTGCATAAGTTGTATCGTCTAACAAAAAAAGTAATTGTCTCCAAACAGATGTGACTGGAAGCAAGTCGACACCTAAACTTTAAGATACAAACTGAAGATGAATTAACTTGGTTTTTTTTATCCATTATTCTAAAAAAATAAAAGAAGATGTTAATGCTTTAATTAATTATATAAGAGAGTCAATGTCTTCGAAAACAAAAAAAAATGGTTTATAAACTGAATTCTTTCAATAGAAGAGTATTTCTCTAATGTGTTTTAGTACTAAAATTTTACATTAATTCAAGTAAACGGCAATCTGAATTTGTTGACTTTTATTTCGACAAATATTTCATGATACTAAAAATAGATTCACACAAGACACTTGATCCAGATATTTATTTCTATAGCATTTGTTTATTTTTTTGAAGATATTGGTTAGTGATACTAAATCAGCATTCTTTATTACACTGCAGTATAACGAGACATGAGAGAGTTTTATTTAATAATGAATTCGGAATTTATGATGTTTTTCAAATCGTTAAAGATTTTACTTTTGAATAAAAATGAATATGAAGAGATGCGAAGCGAAAGAAGCTTATTCTTCTAGTAGTTGTTAAATTAATCGAATCCAAACAACAATCTTATCAGATTTTTCTTGTTGATGAAATATGTCGCTGAACGTTTCATGCAAAGAGAAAACAGACGAAACTAAGAGAAAGTCGTGAAAGCCAACAATTGGTTGACAGTAGATTTTAAATGATTCTGTTTGAAGTCTTTTGTGTCTTATTAAATGTTGCTGTTCAAATGTTTTTTTTTCTCAAACAAGTTTTGTAATATTATTCTATTTCTAATCCTGTGCTGCCTGATCTTTAACAATGTTTTATTAAAATTATTAATAATTCTATAATTTTGAGTAAGAACATTGATTTCCGGTCGTGAAAATTTTCATATCAACATATTTATTTATAGTTCAACTTCAACAATAGACTTCCTCGTTATCAGATTATTGTATTATTTAAATAGAAGCAAAGTGTGTAATATAAATATGTATTATAGAGTATATTTTAACTAAGAGAGACATCAATTGTAGGTGTTAACAGGAAATTGATCCCATCAACGTACATTTCAGAGTAATCAAAATGCAATCATTATCTTTTCGTTGATCGAAATGTCAATAAAAATCTTATTTTGCGAAAATAGAATAGGATCAACTTTGATAAAGAAAAACAAAAAGAGAAGAATTATTTTTTCTATACGAAATGATTACTAAGCTATCAACCGAATCAATATTTGACTTAGCCTTATTTTCATCAACACTTTTAAACGAATTTAAAATGAAATAAAATAAAATAAAATTTAATATTGATAATATGATCTTTTTTTCCTCTATGAATTATTTAATAATTCGTTTTCTTGCCGTTTGCTCGTTTCAATATTTGTGTTTAAACGGCCAATGTCATTATCAACATGATCTTTGATCATTAGCGGCAGAAGCATATCAATCGGATTAGAAATGTTTGCGAACAAGCTATTGACCATTCCAGACCGAGTATATTTCTTTGATAGTTAACATCGAGAACACCTTCAATAGCTTCTAATTCTATCAAAAGTCAAACAACTAATTCTTGCATGGAACATGTTTATTTTGCCGAAGATAATTTTTTAAGTCTAATGTTTCAATACTTTGACGAACAGTATATATGTATATTTATCTTCTAATGTATTCTCTTTTATGAAATTCGACTATAATAAAAACGATGTCGAAGAGATTACCTATCGTAGATGAAAGGAAAAACATATTTTTAAATAAAACTGTGACCGATTTGCTCAACATGTTTAAATTTGTTAACAAAATAGAAACTTTTCTTTTCCTATTGATTAATACAAAATGAAACTTGATCTTTAATGACGCAAGTGTATATAGGCCCGCACACACACACTCGCACATATGCATGCATCAAGTAAGATAAACTCATAATGATGTTTGTATCGATCAATGATGGCTAAAGCTCAGTTCCATTCCAAGAATAACAAAACAAAACGCTATGTGGGATTTTTTTTTCGTCATTTTCTCTTTCTTTCATTAGTTGAGATCTAATTTCAACCGATCATCATCACGCAAGTTCTTTTATTCATACACTTAACACGCGAAAGGTGCATCTCATATTTCAAGTTCTTCTCTCTTATGCATACATAAACTACTTAATCTTAATATTGACATATCGTGCATACTCATTTCTATATTATTAAACGGAAGAAATGATTTTTTTTTGTTTCGGTTAGTTATTTTGTTTTTATATCTGATCTTTTTACGAAAAAAAAAGAAAAAAGAAAAAGAAAGAAGAGAATGAAAATTAAAGTGATTCATAATTTCTTAAAATAGTTGCTGATCCGGAGTCAATCATGTCTGTAGTAGATTTAATTGAATGATGATAATGCTGTTGTTGTGACGGATAATGATTTTGAAAATCAATATGAAAATGTTCATTTGTATTTAAATTTGTTGTTAAACCTAATGGTGCTCGTGGTGTTGGTTCACTACTTGTTGATCCGAGATCATCTAATGAATTCTCACCATTATGTGAAGGACTTATATCAAACGTTTTCCTAAAAATTAAACAAAAGAAAACATTGAATTATATTCTACACCTACGTGAAATCTTTTCTTCTTATCAGCATGAAATATTATCAAAAGAAATATGCGTAACTCTGATCTTCTCGAAAGAAAGACACATCATTGTTTGTTATTCTCTTCAATTAGCAAGTCTTTTCCCTTCTCGCTCTCATCTATGTAAAAAAAATAATCAATGTCAATCAAACACACAAAAAACAAAACAGGGGAAAAAAAGAAAACTTGTGTTTATATACACATCTGTTATTCATTAAAAGAAAATACAACAACTTGCCTATCGCTTGTTTCTGATGCTCTATCACGTTGTCGTCGATTTTTGAACCAATTTGATACTTGCGTTGTTGTTAAACCAGTTGCTTCAGCTAGTTCACGTTTTTCTCTTGGTGATG